GCTTGTTAGTATCCAGGTTGGCCAACGAAATTTCCTCCATTGTAATTTGGAAACGCCTGCGCAGAGGGCGCGCGTCTTACTCACAGCAGCTACCCGTCGGGTCTCCGGCCGCGCCTGGGCCTAGAGGCCTCTCAGGGCCGCGTCCTCCGCGGCGGCGGAGACAGGGGTCAGGGAGGCGGGAGCAGCGGCGGCGAGGGCGCGGGAGCCCACGTCTCTCGGCTCGTTCCGACGCGGCAGCAAGCCGGGCGGGGTCTGCGCAGCGTCCAAGCTGGGTGCAGGGCCGGCCGTCCGCGCGCCTCTCCCGGCAGCCTGGGCCCTCCCGCTCCTTATTTCTTTCTTGACAACATGTGGATTATTCTCTCCTCAGTTACCCTGAAGCCCTGTACCTCCCAGATGGGCTCAGACAAAAGCAGGCAATGTGAGGAGATCCAAGCAGAGCAGCTGTGACACTGCGGTCAACTGCTTGTGCCTCCTGATGCCATGTGACCATGACTGGGAGCTTGTGAGCAGCCTCACAGTTGGCCTTGTGGCTTCCCTTTTGTGGTGACTCTGCTTCCGTGCCAGACACTTCAGGCTTGGAAGTGGTGATGAATCCAGGTCTCTTCTCCACCTGAGGTCTCCCTTATCCCTCCACATGCTATCTAAAAGAGCTCTTCAACTGGGTTTTCTTCAGGTAAGCATCTTCTTCTTTCTCATGTGGATGCAGCCTAATCCTAAGAAGACCAGGACCAGCCCTGGTAATGAGCTCAACAACTGGAATTCTGGTATTGGTGTGATTGCATATTAATGAACATGACCCCCATCTTGCCAGGAAAGGGTGGACTCTTGTGATCCATGGTATGCCACTGGCCTGTCTGGATCATGCTGCACAATGCCCAGGGATCTAAAGATTAGTTTCAAATGTTTTGGAATTCAAGTCATGGTAACTTTAAATGTATTAAAAAGAAAAGTTCTGTGTGAGTTAGCTTTCCATTAGTGTAATAAAATACCTAGATTATCATCTTAAACAAAGGAGAGTTTATTTGGCTCAGATTTTGAAAGCTTGAGTCTGTAGTCAGCATTGCTTTTGGGCCTGTGGTGGACTAACCTATCATGATGGGGGCATATGGTGGAGCGGAGAGCGGTCAGGGTCCCATTATCCACTCAGCAACCTATGACCTCTGCTTAGAGCTTGACCCCCCAGGAATACTTGGGAACCAAGCTTTTCAAGCATAGGTTCAGGAGGGACACTTGACCAAAGCACAGCACTGGCCAAGACAATGGGAAGAATGGTATGAATTTGCTACTTGCATTTTAATCCTCATTTCAGAAAAGGAAACACATACTATAATATTTCTTAACCTAGAAGCCCTAACAGAAAAAATATAGACATGCAATTGTCTTCCATCTATTTAGAAATTTGTAGAGCACTTTAGAAACTCTCTAACACAATGCCATCCTTTCTTGTTGCCTGCTTTTATTTGCAAAAGCACTGAAGAACATAGAAAAAGTGATACCCTACCTATTTGTGTAAACAATGAAGAAATATTTTATTGGATTTTAAATTATTTTTGAAAATATTTGGTGAAGATACTTAAATTATCTAACTCTATCCATGATCATGTGTAATAAGTGAAGATCATTCTTTTGTAAGAAAAATATACATAAAACACAGAATCACATTGTTTGTAACAACAAAATATTGAGTAGTGTTGTCCGGTGATTAGATAAAAATTTAATGAAAGAGCATAATTAGTAAATCACAGTGAGCCAGCCTTTCTCTATTATAAACTACTCTGGTATGAAATAACATTTTCCTGTACTCTCTCCTTCTCAGAGGAAGCCAGGTCAAGCCCACGCGTTCCTACCTCAGAAGACAGTCTACAGCACTTGTAGTGCATTGGCATCTCCACCTTCCAGAGGTCAGAAGGCTTCACTACTGGAGGAAAAGAGGATGCATGATGGACTAGGAGACTGGGGAGGTCATTTAAGTGACCTCTGAGACTCTCCAAGGACTAAGCACAGTGGCATAGTCCACAGTCCCGATGGAAGGATGGAGCAGTCTTCTCTGTTCTATCCAGTGCCGAGCAAGAAAAACTCGAAGGTATAGGGCAGGGCAGTAAAGAATGATACCTGTTGAGCCCAAGAATGTGTTTTGGAGCAATTGGAGGCATAAATAAACCACCTCAGGGGGTGTAACAACCCATTCTCTGAGATCAGGAGGGGACAAGGAGCAGCTATTTCTGCATCTGTCTAAGAAGATTTCAAGTAGTTAATTTTATATCCCCTCAGGTACAGAATTTTTATCAGGAGATCTCAGAGATAACTTAACATAACACACACAAAACTTTGAGAAAGCAAGGGAGAAGATGTGCTCACGTTCACATTAGGGAGTATGCATTTCTAATATTATCTCAACTATTAAAAGAGCTCCTTATTAAATATTGATTGTGATTGTGAAGGTTTAAATTATTCCCAGATCATAAATAATATATCAAATATTTTAAAGCTTGTTGCACTTACAAATAATTCAACAGCCTTCTAGTGATTGAAAACATAAAGGCTGTACAATACAGATGTAAGGCCATCCCCAAAGACAGAAGCAGAGGAGCACGAGCTTTCCTGTGCCACATGCATCACAGAGCTTCTGAAGGACCAAACAAGGTGACAGATGGGTGGGACTTGGGTGTTGCAAGCAGAACTGAAGACAGGTAACTGCCTTGGGGAGGGTGAGTCAGTCAATTCCAACATCGAGGAAAGCAGGAGCTTGGAGAACTCAATTTTGAAATCCTTGGCAGGCGAAGTGTCTAGAGCACTACTTCTCAAGCTTCCCAAATTTTTATTTGACTTGAACTATCTCTGGATTTTTTTTTCAGGTGAAGATTGTGGATTTCTTGTATGGTGTGGAGCCTGCGGTCTGATAAGCTCCCAAATGCTGCTCCCATGCATGTGGAGTCCCTGAGTCAAGAGCACAATGCTCAGATTTTGACAGTGGAAGGGACTGCACCAGAGGGCTTCCTCCACACGACGCCATCTAGAAGTGTTCTGTTGCTCAAAATGGGACATCGGGACAATTCCTAAACTACCTTCAACTTCTTCCCTAGAAGTCCAAAGTGCATAAAGAAATAACATAATTTTGGTTGAATACTATGTGCCATGCACTGATTCCACAACCTTACAGTTATTATTTCACTTAACTTTCATTAGAAACCTTTTGAGGTAAGTAAGAAATAAGTTCCCCAAAATGACCTCAGACTAATAAATAGGATCACATGTAAAACATCACTTACTTTTCCTTTCACAGATATATACTTGCATGCAAGTATTTGGGTAAGTACCTTACTACTAGAAATTTGGGTGGTAGATGAAAGATTTAGCATAGGCTGATGGCATGAGATCACTTTTAATAATAAAAAGTCCCACCCCACCTCAGCAGGCCTACTAGGAAGGAGCTTCAGGACAGGATGAAAGCAGGGCCAAGTGGTCCACTTGGACTGGGCTCAGCTGGAAGGAGCCAAACACGGCAACCAGACCCAAGCCAGGTCCTGCTAGTCCAGTTCAAGTTCAGTAGATCTACACTTGGTAAGCTGAGGCTACTGCTGGGCTCAGTGGAACATCTTTGCAGCACAGAAGTGGCAGCAGGTAACTGGGGTGAGCTAGTCTGCCCAGAAGACTCCAGGTGCATGAAGGGGAGGTGTTCAGACAGAACTCAGGGGAACTAATTTAAATACAAAGTACCACTTTAAGAAGTGCTTGGTTATACAGCTATAATATTTACTCCTATGGTCTAAAGTACAAACCCATTAGTTACAAAAGTTTGTCAATTTTTAAATTTCACTAGCTGTTATTAGTATTGCTAAATGGGCTATGTAAATAGGAAATCATATCTGTCTTAACCACATGTTTTGGGTAATAATATTAGAAGATGCTTTGGTAATAACATGAACAAAGCCCTACACTGAAGGACAGAGGAGAGTGACGAACAGAAGCCAATTTCTCACTGTCATTCAATGGAGAAGGCAAAATCTTTGGACACACACAAAACGAGAAACTCTGACACAGATGGTATACCTAAAAACAGACTCTTCACAGAGAGGCTCTGACTACAGTGTTATAGCTACCTACTATTAAACTTTCACCAAAAGTATCACAGAAATAAAAGTAAAGAGTTCTTGAAACAGAAAATGACAAAAAGGAGCAAAATGTGTTCTCAGTGACCAAGCTGACCCAGAACAAACCCTGGAGACATCAGCATAGAAGAAATTGGAAGCCATGAACCTGAATTCTCTGAAATAACAGCAACTGAAGTAAAGAAATAACTGCAGGTGAGTATAGATGAAATCAGATCAAAAGTAATCTCATAGGTAAAAACAAATTATAACTATAATGAAATAATTACTAACGGTTTCTAAAGAAGACACTGATAAAAAAGGAGGGAGAATAGAAAAATGATGGAAACCTTGAATGAGCAATATAGGAAAGAAATAGAATGCATGAAGCTGAGAGATATACAAGAAATCAAAAGTTTCATTAAAAGCTGACAAAATTGTTTGAATGACAGTGAAGAAAGAGCTTCAGAACTTAAAGACACCATTACAGCTAGTGAAAAACTCAGGAATGTTCTCTTAAAAGCAACTATGGTGCAGGGAAAACTAATTCAACATCTGCAGGATGATGCAAAGATGAACAATGTAAGACAAATAGGCATCGGTAAGAAGGAAGGAGGCAACACAAATAACAGAAAGAATAAGGACAGAAGAAATAGCTGAACCAGGCTGCAGGATCCTGAACAAACCCAGAATGCAGGTCCGGCAGAGTGAGACGACCTGGGACCCTTTGGATCCTGAATAGACCAGGAGCGCAGGTACTGTGAGTGAGTGAGACTACCCAGCCCATGGGA